GTGAGAAAAATGTACAAAAATTATTTAAAATTTTATGAAACCTCAATTCAGCTGGGCTGAATTGAAGATTTTCTATAGAAACTCTTATTCAGCCAGGATGTATTGAAGATTTTCTATATAAACTCTTTTTCAGCCAAGCTGAATTGAAGATTTTCTATAGAAACTCTTATTCAGCCAGGCTGAATTGAAGATTTTCTATAGAAACTCTTATTCAGCTAGGCTGAATTGAAGATTTTCTATAGAAACTCTTATTCAGCCAGGCTGAATTGAAGATTTTCTATAGAAACTCTTATTCAGCCAGGCTGAATTGAAGATTTTCTATAGAAACTCTTATTCAGCCAGGCTGAATTGAAGATTTTCTATAGAAACTCTTATTCAGCCAGGCTGAATTGAAGATTTTCTATAGAAACTCTTATTCAGCCAGGCTGAATTGAAGATTTTCTATAGAAACTCTTATTCAGCCAGGCTGAATTGAAGATTTTCTATAGAAACTCTTATTCAGCCAGGCTGAATTGAAGATTTTCTATAGAAACTCTTATTCAGCCAGGCTGAATTGAAGATTTTCTATAGAAACTCTTATTCAGCCAGGCTGAATTGAAGATTTTCTATAGAAACACTTACTCAGCCAGGCTGAATTGAAGATTTTGTGTAGAAACTCTTACTCAGCCAGGCTGAATTGAAGATTTTCTATAGAAACTCTTATTCAGAGGGCCTGAATTGAAGATTTTCTATAGAAACTCTTATTCAGAGGGCCTGAATTGAAGATTTTCTATAGAAACTCTTATTCAGAGGGGCTGAATTGAAGATTTTCTATAGAAACTCTTATTTAGCGGGGCTGAATTGAAGATTTCCTATAGAAACTCTTATTCAGCTAGGCTGAATTGAAGATTTTCTATAGAAACTCTTATTCAGCTAGGCTGAATTGAAGATTTTCTATAGAAACTCTTATTCAGCTAGGCTGAATTGAAGATTTTCTATAGAAACTCTAATTCAGCTAGGCTGAATTGAAGATTTCCTATTGGAATTCTTATTCAGCCCGGCTGAATTGAAGATTTATTATTGAAATTCTTATTCAGCCAAGCTGAATTGAAGATTTTCTATAGAAACTCTAATTCAGCCAGGCTGAATTGAAGATTTTCTAGATAAACTACAATTCAGCTGGGTTATATTGAAGATTTTCTAGGAAAACTTCAATTGAGCTCAGCTCCGAAACTCTTTTCAGCTGTGTTAAATTGTAGCTTGATTTATGACAATGACCAAATATATACACCGACACACTTTCATAAGTGACAACAGAAATATGGATAAATATAGATAATTATTATCAAATATCAAAATAAAAAATTTGCCAATAAAAAATTTCGACCTGAATGAAAATTCAGCGGGGCTGAATTGAAGATTTCATACAAAAAATTTAATTCAGTCGGGCAAAATTGAAGATTTTCCATAGAAACTCTAATTCAGCTGGGCTAAATTGAAAATTTCCTATAAAAACTCTAATTCAGCTGGGCTAAATTGAAGATTTCCTAAAAAACTGTAATTCAGCTGGCTAAATTGAAGATTTCCTATAGAAATCGCAAGTCAGCTGGGCTAAATTGAAAATTTTCTATAGAAACTCCAATTCAGCTGGGCTAAATTGAAGATTTTCCATAGAAACTCTAATTCACCTGGGCTGAATTGAAGATTTTCTATAGAAACTCTAATTCAGCTGGTCTAAATTGAAGATTTTCTATAGAAACTCTAATTCAGCTAGGCTGAATTGACGGTTTTCTATAGAAACTCAAATTCAGCTAGGCTGAATTGAAGATTTTTTATAGAAACTCTAATTCAGCTCGTATAAATTGAAGATCTTTCAGCTGGGCTGAATTGAAGATTTTCTATAGAAACTCTAATTCAGCTCGTATAAATTGAAGATCTTTCTATAGAAACTCTAATTCAGCTAGGCTAAATTGAAGATTTTCTATGGAAACTCTAATTCAGCTGGGCTAAATTGAAGATTTTCTATAGAAACTCTAATTCAGCTGGGCTAAATTGAAGATTTTCTACATAAACTCTAATTCAGCTGAGCTAAATTGAAGATTTTCTACAGAAACTGTAATTCAGCTGGGCTAAATTGAAGATTTTCTATAGAAACTCCAATTCAGCTGGGTTAAATTAAAGATTTTCTATAGAAACTCTAATTCAGCTGGCCTAAATTGAAGATTTTCTATAGAAACTCTAATTCAGCTGGGCTAAATTGAAGATTTTCTATAGAAACTCTAATTCAGCTGGGCTAAATTGAAGATTTTCTAGAGAAACTCCAATTCAGCTGGGCTAAATTGAAGATTTTCTATAGAAACTCTAATTCAGCTAGGTTGAATTGAAGATTTTCTATAGAAACTCTAATTCACCTAGGCTGAATTGAAGATGTGCTAAAGAATTTATAATTCAGCAGCACCAAATTGATGATTTTTTATCGAAACTCTAATTCAGCATTACAGAATTGAAGATTTTATATAGAAACTCTAATTCAGCTGAATTGAATATATTCTTAAAAACTCTATTTGAATTTATTTTTTAATGTTTTACATTCTTAAATACGGAGAGAAACGATGCTTGGCAAAAAAAAACACTGGTTTTGTTCTTGACGTTTTCATGCATTTTATTTCAAATCATCAAACCTTACATTTAAACGGACATGGTGTAAACGTTGCGATTAATAAATTCGTCTTTAGTGTCGGCGTTAACATTACTTGACTTCCATATGGTCATTGTTTAACATTCACCTTCATCATTTAATTTTTCTCTCTCCCCATATTCGTAACTTTACGCTACATTGCTAAATATGTCCAATTGGCACACAGTCTCTCTATTTCACTGAACATACCCATTGATTGAACTGTTCACATGTCACTTTTGAAAATAGTCTTTGTCACTGAATTGTGTAATTGAATGTATTAAAATGGGTGTTATTACAACAAACATCTAATATATACAATTACAAAAATAAAAAAATAGTTATTTTGTGTATATAATATTGATTTGATTGCAATTAATAATATAAATAATACTTCAGATGAATGAAAGAAAGAAATAGAACTAGTTCCCTTAGTTCATTTGCAGTGAATAGTTTAATTTGAACAAGGTAACGACACGTTGCCGTCATTTCATCAGCCGGGGGATAAGATTTATTTATTTTATTATTTATTTCAACACTTTTTGTTGACTTACAAGGTAGTATTACCCTCGGTATTATCATTCTCTAAGTATTTTTCACAAAGATAACATTTACTCCACAGTAGTCCATCCAAAAAATGGCTGACGATTTGATTGCGAAATTCCAATCACTTGGCATGAGTGAGCAGAAGGCCAAAGAGACGGCTAAAAATGCAAATGTGAGTAAAAATTTGCAGCTGGTCTTGGAACAATGCAATGGTGCATCGCTGGCCGATGGTGTTGGCATGTTGTTGTATCACATGGCAACAAAAATCAAACCCCAATGTGCTGAACATTTGCCACTGCTGGTACGTTATATTGTGGAAAAGAAATTGGACTCCACAATGCGTGTTGATGCCGGCTTAGAATATCTACTAAAATGTGCCGTTCAGAAAAAGGGACAAACTATTGATTTGGCTGAATTGGATAAGGAATGTGGTGTGGGTGTCGTTGTAACTCCCGAAGAAATTGAAAGTGTCGTCCAGAAGCAAGTGGCCAAACATAAGGATGCCTTGTTGGAACAACGTTATCATTTCAATAGTTTTAAAATTATGCAGGAAGTGCGTGAGCAATTGAAATGGGCCGATGCCAAGAGTGTTAAGGCAGCCATTGATGTGGAAATCTTTGATTTGTTGGGTCCCAAAACGGAGGAAGATATGAAGCCCCTTACCAAGGGTGATAAGAAAAAGGAAAAACCTAAGGCAGCGGAAAATAAACAAGCTAACAATAAAACTACAGCTGCTGCTGCCAGTAAGGAAGTGGAATCATCATCCTCAGATGGAGCCAACACTATTGCCGAATTGATGAAAACTAAAGTCCACTTCCATGCCCCTGGTGAAAATTACAAAACCGATGGTTATGTGGTAACCGACAACACCGAAAGGCTATTGAAAGAACATTTGAAGGCCACCGGTGGTAGAGTACAAACTCGTTTCCCACCCGAACCTAATGGTATTCTTCACATTGGCCACGCCAAGGCAATTAACATTAATTTCGGTTATGCCGCTGCCCACAATGGTGTCTGCTATTTACGTTACGATGATACCAACCCCGAAAAGGAAGAGGAAAAATTCTTTGTTGGCATCAAGGATATGGTTGAATGGTTGGGTTATAAACCCTATAAAATTACCCACTCCTCAGATAATTTCCAACAGTTGTATGAATGGGCTGTTGTCCTCATACGTAAAGGTTTGGCCTATGTTTGTCATCAATCCGCCGATGAAATGAAGGGATTCAATCCCAAACCCAGTCAATGGAGAGATCGTCCCATCGAAGAGTCGTTGCAACTCTTTGAAGACATGAAAAATGGTAAAATTGATGAAGGGGCTGCCACCTTGCGTCTTAAGTTAACCCTGGAAGAGGGAAAAGTGGATCCCGTCGCCTATCGTATCAAGTTTATTGCCCATCATCGCACCGGCAACAAATGGTGTATTTATCCCACATATGACTACACTCATTGCCTGTGTGACTCGTTGGAAAACATTACCCATTCCTTGTGTACCAAGGAATTCCAATCGAGAAGATCTTCCTATTATTGGTTGTGTAATGCCTTGGACATCTACTGCCCAGTCCAATGGGAGTACGGCCGTCTGAATATGAACTATGCTTTGGTCTCAAAACGTAAAATTGCCAAGCTGATAACCGAAAAGATTGTCAATGATTGGGACGATCCTCGTCTATTCACACTGACAGCATTGCGCAGAAGAGGTTTCCCCGCCGAGGCAATTAATAATTTCTGTGCCCAAATGGGTGTGACAGGTGCACAAATTTCCGTTGATCCCTCTATGTTGGAAGCCTCGGTACGAGATGTTCTCAATGTCAGCGCTCCACGTAGATTGGTGGTAATTGAACCTTTGAAGGTGACTCTGGAAAATTTCCCCCATCCCAACGCCATTGAAATTGATGTACCCAATTTCCCACAAAATCCCGAACAAGGTAGCCACAAAGTTGTATTGGATCGTGTTATTTATATTGAACAGAGTGATTTCAAATCGGAACCCGAAAAGGGCTATCGCCGTTTGGCACCCGGACAAAGTGTTGGCCTGCGTCATGCCAATTTGGTTATTTCTTTGAAGGAGGTTAAAAAAGATGCTGCTGGTCACATCACCGAATTGGTATGTGAATGTCAGCCCACCGAAACTGCCGAGAAGCCGAAAGCATTTATTCAATGGGTATCGCAGCCCATTGAAATTGAAGTACGCCTTTATGAGCTACTGTTCAAACATAAAAATCCTGAAGATCCTAATGAAGTACCTGGTGGTTTCTTATCGGACATTAATCCTAATTCTATGGCCATTATGCATTCATATGCCGATCGTTCTTTGGCCAATTGCAAAGTCTACGATAAGTTCCAATTTGAACGTGTAGGTTTCTTCTCTGTCGATCCTGATACCACTAAGGAAAAAATTGTATTCAATCGTACTGTGGGACTTAAAGAAGATGCTGGTAAAAAATAAAGAAAAGATTTTTGTAATCTTTAAATTTTGTAAAAATAACAACAACAAATTAAAAATTTGTAAATTTGAATCTGGAATCGGCTTAAAAAGTTTTTGTTTTTTGTAACCAAACAAATAAAATGTTTTTGAAAAAATTAAAAAATCTTATCGATGCCTAAATTATTAAGGAAATTGCAATTCAGCCAGACTGACTTACAGTTTTCTTATAGAGAACCTAATTCAGAAGGCTGAAGATCTAAAAACCCTCATATAAAAATAAAAACCTTTTGATGTCCTTTGTAAAAAAAAATGCTAACAAAATTCGTTTATTTTTTTCCTTCTACCATAATAATGTGGTAACCAAATTTCGTCTTAATTGGTGGATCTGTATAAATGGGATTGTTGACCGTTGAGATGGGCAGGGCGAACGCGGCATCTTGAAATGGTCCAACCATTGCACCACGTATTTGCCAACCTAAATCACCGCCTTGACGTGCCTTATCTTCACTGTATGCTGCCGCCACTTCGGGGAATTTTTGACCAGCCTTTAGCTTTTCCAAAGCCTCGAGGATTTTTCCTTGTTTTTCGCACAGAATGTGTCGTACCTTAACGGCATTGCCGCCTTTCTTTTCTTTGCCTGAAATCAGAGAGAGAGAGAGAAGTGAAATTCATAAGTCAATGTTGTGGAAGGAAAGGAAATATTTGGACTTCCCGAAATCCAGATTTCTGTCCTAGAAAATTCTTTAACAATATTTGTTTACAAATCCACAATTCTTGAATCAATGTCCCTTTAAAAAAATCCACGAATCTTAAAAAAGGTTTTAAGATGAGCAAAATTTGTATCAAAACGTGTAATTCTTGCGCTTCGTATGAGAATTACAGAAGGACCGATAATCTTATCATTGAACTTGATGCGTAGACAGGCAGACGGCAGACATTCCTAAATAGAACTGAATGTTATCTGAAATGGATCCAGTATCAGAGCTACATGTGGAAAATTAAAGCCGTCTTCTTGCCATAAATTGATCAAGTCTACAAAAGTTTCGATCGGGTCTAAATTTGACATTTCCATGAGGCAAATTTTTGATTGTATGAATATGCCGAATCCCATATCTCAGGAAGTATAAACTTCGGGAAGGAAAAATATATCGTTGTCTTTAAATTGACTTAAGCCGTTCCATGTTTTGAAATATCCCCTATATAAATTCCCCCAATTTTGCTCGAATCTTCCAACCTGAGTATCTCCAATTTTGTATTTTATGTTCTTAGGATATAAAAACGTTCTAGCAGAGAATTTGAGGTGACATAGCCCCCCTTGGGATTTTTCACCACAGATAGGTGTTAGTGTTCCGATTACAACAATATATGCATTTTTTCTGGAGATGTTCATATTCCCAATGAAGGCGGAAGGTGCATGTGAACAAGACTTGTATCAAAATGGTAAAGTGGTTTGGCCGTAGCTGCGTTAAAATTCCCAAAGAAACCAGTGGATTTTTAATAGCTATTCCATCATTAATATACAGTGACTTCTCTTCAACCCAATGTTCCAACCTATAATAAGATAATTTTTATTCCATTGCATAAACATAACAATAGTTTACCTTTTTCTTCAGCAGCACCGGCACCACCTTTTTTGCCGCCAGCATCTTTGCCTTTGCTGCCACCTTTGGCGTCTTTCTTTGGAGGCATATTGTGCTATATATTTTATATATGATTCCGGTTCACTTGGCCAAGAAAAAAATCCGGCGACTTCTCAACTCCTAACTACAAGTCAATGTTTACGTTTTTATGATGATAGGTTATGTTACAATTGAAATGTCAAAAATACTCTCACCCACTCTATACAATGTGGCAACATGTGTTTTATTTGCAAAGGAGTTATACACAACCAGAGCGTAAAAGGCCGGCGGCAGTAAACATTGATATGGCATAAAGGAAAAGGAATGAGATAATTTCTACTGAGTTTCTCATTATTATGTCTCGCATTTTTACAGGTTATTCTCATTTTACTTTTACTTTTATGATATGCAAATTAAATTTAATTATCAAAAATAATTTTATTTTTAAACATCAACAATTCCAACCCCACAATAAAAAAAGCCTTGCGCGCTGATTCAGTTTTGAACACCTATACTCACTCTCACTTGCGTATAAAAGTAATCACCTGCTCAGCGATTATCAATTACCCGTACACTCTCTTTTCTGTCTGAACTGAACAAAAAAAGTTCGCCAAGTTATTTTCGTAAGTGATATTTTGTAAAATTTCCCCAAAAATATTTAATTTCATTGCGAAAAACTAATTGCAATTCATAAAATTCTCCATACAGATTCATTTGAATACGAATTAAGAACAGACAAACCGTTGCAATATGCCGAAAAACAAGGGTAAAGGTGGTAAAAATCGTCGCCGTGGAAAGAACGAAAATGAGTTCGAGAAACGTGAATTGATTTTCAAAGAAGACCAGCAGGAATATGCCCAAGTAACAAAAATGTTGGGAAATGGTCGTTTGGAGGCAATGTGCTTTGATGGTGTGAAACGTTTGTGTCACATTCGGGGGAAACTCAGAAAGAAGGTAAATAAAAATATTTTTTCTTTATATGATGGGTCCATCCAACAATTTTCAATTTCAAATGAAAGTGAATAATAGAAAATTTAATTTCAATTTTTTTGCAAATGTTTTTATATGAACGTGTGGCGAAGACGACAACGACGATGATATTTTGTGTGTATGTGTGTTTGGCTGCAAGTGTGTTTCTCGTACACAGTGTGTATGAAATTGTATGCGCATAAGTGTGTGTGTTCGATGACAGACCGCGACAACTACATGTAGCGAATTATTATAGCGCCGCGCATATACAATTTTTTTATTTGCCTTCAAGTTCATTTAACTTTTTTTTAACATCGGGATACAATTTTTCTTTGTAAACATCATCATTGTTGTTGGATGATACCCAACAAGGCCACAAGGGAATATGTAGGAGTTCTTTCCCCACACTACTGTGTGCGACAATTATGTTTGTTGTAAACAAACAACAAATAGATGCTGCCTGCCTGCTGCACAGCACACATTGCAATTGTCAATTTGTTTGTAACCTCAAGTTGATGTGATTCATTAATTATCAAGGATGTTTTTTCAATAACTTTCCCCTCCCTTTCGCCTGAAAGTCATTAATATTTACAATGTAATCTTATCTTTATATTAAATAATTTTATAATTATGATATATTACTCCCAATACTCATTTTATTATTAGAATAGATTCCAGTTTCCACATTTGTTTGTTTAAAGAAGCCCCTGTTTACAATTGTTGACTTTTACACAAATTTAATTTACTTTGACAAGCAATGCAAATGGCGTCATATTTTACAAAAAAAGAAGATTGCGTATTGAAATATTTCACCATATTGATTAAAAGTTGGGAAATATGATATTTCATGCATTTATTACTTAATGGGTATTTCTCAGACAATTTTTGAAAATTAGAATTCCAAAAGTTGCCCTTTATATCCTCAGCCCTAAGGTTATTGACACAATCCAACATACACTTTGTCGAAATATGGGATTTAAATTCCAAGTGTCTTTTGGAGTAAATGATTTTAGGCAGAAAATTCGTGTAGCTGGTGGCCACAAAAGGAATAACGAATTGGATCGGACTTTTGGAAAAATGTTCACCGAATGTTAATAGCAATGCATTTCTTCTGGTACCTCCTGCAGAAGACATGTGAATATAGTATCAGTTCATACGTTAACTGTGTTGGTCCAGAATAACATGTACAAATTTGGAACCGAAAAATTTACAATAAGTAGACCGTATGTAGGTATTTTTTGGTTTTCAGAGAAATTTCAAAGATGTATCGCCAATTTGAGATCAATAATGACGGCCTAACCATGCTTAAACCGCATATATTAGACTATTATTTTCACATTTCAGTCATCATCGTGTATTTGACACACCATGTCAAATTTACGGTGAGATAGACAAAATAAGCAAGTCCATCCGGCAAAGGTCTAAGACACACAACTCTCTCCTAGCAAATATATTTGATTGGGGAAAAATAAATCCATTATTTTTATATAAACTATAAGACTATTTAACATGCTTCGGAGTGTCCGATTTGGGCCAAAAATACACCGTTTTGTTGTCATTTTAAAGGTAACTTCATAATAGAAGTCCTGCTCTCTATTTACAAAAAAACTCTAGTAGTCGATTTTCACAATCCTCCCTAGAACCTTCCTGGCCGTTAGTCCTGGTTTGACCACCGTTTGAGGTGCTTCACCTCTCTTTGACCACGTTCGTTTTCACACAGGGTTATCGTATGTGATCCATTTCTCATCCCTAGTCACCGCCCGTTTATGAAATGGGTCTATCTCATTCCGTTTGGCTAAGGCTTCGCAGATGGAAATTCGATTCATCCTTTTTTTCTATTAATTGATTTTATCGATATTTTCGAAGAACGGCCTAATGGATTTCTTTTTCCCCAACCTAATATAATCATTTAGAACCATTTTGCAAATTTTAAAACGTTTATCTTTTTTAAAACTTGTTTATTGCTAATTTGTAAAAAATAGAATTCAATGAATATTTTTTCTGTGTATTCTTCATAATGGATGTTGTTTGTTAAAACTTTGTAAACAGCGAAATGTATCTAACAGCACCTGATTTTTATTTTCTTGGAAATATCTTTGTTTATCCACACGTATTTTGGCATTCTATATTAAGAAGTGTTGTCATAAATGAATTTATCTCTTTTTTTCTATCCTTGGTGTATTTTTTTAACATCTACAAGAACAATGTCTAAAGATTGTGGTTGCAGTGAAGAAATTACGTTATTTTCTATTTTCACAACAGTTACTTTAGTAGCAGATGTTGTTTTCTGGAGTCGTTGACATATAAAGTTTTTGATAACAAAGAAATGTGTATTCATTTGTATAAATATGCAGTTTTAGATGTACCTTCAAAATAATAATTAAAAATCAATGATATACATCAAAGATTTTGAAATTCTTCTGTTATTGACCAGAAGCGGTTCTTTAAAAATTCTTTAAATATCATCGACATGACAAAAATTTAAATATAAACTCCGCGATAGTTATCCCTTGTTAAGGGAAATTAAAAACTATATTGAACATTCACCCGAAGAGGGTTATTATAGTCCCTCTATAATAACCCTCCACGATAATTTACCTGAAATCCACGATAATTTACCTGAAATTGTTGATTATGTAAAAATTAAATAGTAACTCCAATAGTTGAGTGACAACCAAGTCATTTTATACCTTCCATCATGGGCAAAGGTCTCAATTTAATATATTGGGTTCTCATTGGTACTGAAATTTATCAGCACAGGTCCACGTTTTGGTAAACCCCCACTACAACAATACTTCCTACTTTTCGGAATTTTTAGAATTTCAGACACGTTTTTCCAAGTGAAATGACTTTAATTACATATTTTGAGTTCTTATTGGGTAGTAAAATTTTCCTGCCAAAAAGTATCCACAACCAGATATGGCATCTATATACTAGCCCCTAATTTTTTAGAGAGCTTCAGACATTTTTCAACTAATTTATATTAATTATTATTGTGAGTTCTCGTAGGGTAGAAAATTTATAAAGACCAGTCGACCTTTTTGTATAGCACCCATATAAAGGTCCAGTATTTTGATGGTCCTAAGTGCATTATCCAAAACGAAGTTTATATATTCTGGCATAACGAAGTGACCCTAATTTGGCATTCCAAATCTTTGTGGGTAAATAACTAAACATTTTATTTTTTCTGGTTGTTCTAGAGGCTACAATTATGACCCAAAAACGGAAAAGGGGATCTGTCCAAGGAACAAGCATGTCCCTCTTCATAAACATCAGTCAATATTTTGCGGGTTATATGAACCCAGACTTTTATATGAATAAATGGAAAATTTGCATTCTATGGTGAATACTCCGGAAAGACATAAACCACAGACATTGACAGTACATCCGAGATGAGTGGTTGACCTTTCAAGTGTTTAGTATAACCATCACCACACTAGAGTGTGGAAAAGTTGCGCTAATCGCAATGAAATTTTACACAAATTTCCGGCTATGGTCAACAACGACACATATAGTTTTCGGTGGTGATCAAATTCTATTTAGGTAATGAAATATACAGAAAACTTTATTATTGTCTGGTTTTCTAGTCGCTATAGGGGCCACTATTATAAGCCGAACACAACACATGTGTCCACGCGGAGGGGAATCTAGCGAACTAATTAGTTAGTATGTTGTGTTACAGGAACCAAGACTTTTGTGTGAAAAATTACAAAATTAGAATTTTATTTTGTAAATGTTTACGAAAATAGCATTCAAAAAAGATGTAGGAAGGATTAAATTGGTCTATACTGTGTTACAAAAAACTTACCTCCGAATTATCATCTGTATTTCATTGAAATATTGAAATTATATATTTTTGCAGAAAACAGATTTTTATTCGATTTTTGCTTTTAAAATTCCGAAAATTTCTAAAAAGTCTAAACAAAATGACAAAACAATTGTTCAGTTTTGTTTTGCATTCATACTCGATTCATTACCCTTTCCATTGCCAGTAACTACTAAATTGGAATGATATACCTAGACAACTTTTCCAATCGATAAATAAATCCAAAGTCAATTTTGTGTCAAATCGGTTACAAATGTTAACTAGATCTCCAAGTACTAGTTATATAACTATATATCAGCAGACAATTGATATTTTTTGAACAACTGGGATATTGTACATCTCTTGTATGTACCTAAAGTGGTGCATTTTGATACTAGGTCCGCCATTTTGCTAGTTTTCAACTGGTTTTCAGTTTTTTTTTTTTTTTTGTGGCCAAAAATAGGGGATTTTCCAAAAAAAATGTAGATTAAATAAAGAAATTAGTAAATAATCGAATTCAAATACATCTATTAAAAATAACCAATAGTTATTTCGGTAAATTTTTACAAAGTCTCGTAATCGTCTTAACATCAAAAATTTAAATTAACCAAAAAATGTTTTTTATTTTCAAATAATCTAGGTTAATTCCTTTATAATAACCCAATCATACCTTGATTTAACTAAACGGCAAATTGTTAATCAAAATTATAAAATATTTTTTGCAAAACTATGTCTGTGTTGTTTTTGCTCTATTAGAGCTTATCTAATCTTTGCATTTCTGGAAATCGTTAAAAAGACAACTCATGGCCTCATGTGCCAGCTGATTTTTTTGACACGCTTTTCACGCCCCCATAAGATGCTCATCAAATGACTTGACAATTGGGTTTTTCCTATAAAAAACACCTGTTTTCAGAATTGTGTTGTGACCATAATTTTGATAAGAAATAGAACGAATTGGCTTGGCCTTGATTTATGTACTTAAAGGAATTTAATTTTTTGTTTTTCTCTTCAAAACCTTTGAACCTTATAAACTGATGCACAAAAAATAAATTTTGAAAATTAATAAAAATTATTGGCCCACAAATTCGTTTGTTGCAACCTTATCTCTTAACATAAGCCGTTTTATGATCATTTGTTTTTTTTTCTTGGTAACACTTTCCGGCTAATATATGGTGTGGCAAAAAATCTGTTCTCATTTTTTCTCTATCTCGCTCATTCGCTTCTTAACGATATCTATAAATTATGTTAGTAAAATTTTTGACTGACGGACCGGTTGGTAACTACAATCTGATAAGCAAATCTATCAATTCATGTTTGTCAGCAGACTTTGTACGGCGTTATGGTAACTCGTTTCCCCGCTACCAACTTTTGTTGTTGCTTCTTTGGAATGTGGAAATCTTTTCCATAACACTTGGTTGGTGGTGTTTGGTGGGCTATGAGTAATTCTTATTAGAGAATTTCACCATCCAATGTGATTTTTTAAATAAAAAGATAAGCAAGACAATTTTTTTTCTAGGCAAAATTCTTTAGTTTATTTTTTGTTCATGATGGTTTTTTTTCTTGGAGATTTTTTTACCTAATTAATAATTACACAATATATTAGCTTAATAACTATGAGATTGAATTAATTAAAAATATTAACTATATTTAATAATTAAAAAACTAATTAAAACTAAAACACAATTCGAGTTTTAAAATTTTGTTTGGTTGAGAGTCTTTTGAGGTTTCTTGGTTATTTTTTCTTTTGGTTTTTAGGAACTTGAGTTTTTTGTTTCTTAATTTCTATTTTTTTACACATCTTTCCATTTTTTACTCAAATTGTGTTGTTGTTGTAATAATTTGTTCAATCCAATCGGTAAAGGCCGACACCCGCACAAACACCGATGGCGCATTCTTTTGGCCACATGGCATTTTACCCCACGAAACAATACCAATAATTGTGGGCCTGGTATTACCATAGACATCAATGACTTCATCTTGTATCAGAGGACCACCCGAATCGGCGGTACAAATACTGACACCACCCGTCAGCGGACCGGTACACAAATTTGTATCATGTAACTGCATACCCGAAGAGGCCAACACCTGTTCACACAATTCCATATCCAAAATGGGCATATTTGCCTTTTGCAATTTATGCGGATACTGGGGTACAATTGTCATCGAGACATTACCCCATCCATAGAGGGTACCATAACCCTCCGGCTGGGCATCTTGTTGGGGCAAATTTACCGGTTGCACATATTTGTCAAAATTCAATGGTTCCTTGGTATAAATCAGGGCTATGTCATAGGGATTAACCCCACCAAGATAGAGTTCGTGCCTTACATAATAGTCAATGTGGCGCAGCTGTACATTGGGACTTTCATCGCGTGAATGAATGTCATGACAGCCGGCAACCACCACAGAATTTGCCACCAACTGAGGATTGCTAAGGCAATGTGCCGCCGTCAATATCCAATGTTCATTGATGATGGTACCGGCACAATAGTGGACCATACCATCGTCGGGTGTTAGCAGTTGTATGGACACCACATAGGGTGCTGAGTGGGGTTCGGCTTCACGTTTGGCCAAGAATTTTTTACTCCATTTGTCCGATTGGGCTTGCAAATTGCTAACAGCTAAATTTGCAGCCTGATTGTTATTTAAAAATCCATAGGGTGAACAGCGGCTATTCCTTGATGTTTGCCGGGATAGACTTCGGGTTAAACTGGGAGCGCCACCAACCGCCATCAATTTGCTGCTGCGCGCCGCTCCAAACGGCATTTGATTGTTGTTAGCAAGGACCAACATTGTGGGCAATAGAGTTGTAAGCAATAACACATAGACATAATTCACCGAACTAGACATTATCATCCCCTCTTCTACGATGACGTTTAAACACGTCGTACACGTTAATAAATCCGTTTTGAAATAAACTTTTAAATCTCATAAAATTTGATTTGAAATAAAACACCACGGCGCGAGGTGTAAACCTTTTTCTCTGTTTTCTTTTTTTCTCACGATCTTTTAGCAAAGGCTTTTAAATGTTAAATGAACTTAACGTATTTCAAGCAAGGCCATATTTATAAGAAATTGGCAAAAAATTACACTCTCTCTCACTCTCTTCAAAACACACGAAGAAAGCCCGATAAGTTTTGGCCAATGGCAAATTTTCTTGTTCTTATCAAAATTCTCGCCCCCGTTAGAGCGCCAAAACACACAATCATCATCGTTGATGTCCCCCTCAACAAATTTGTAGAGAAATTCCGTGATTATTTTCTCACAACACCCCTGAAGTTTACAAACCCCCTAAAAACAGATAGATCGGTGGGCTATTTGCCTACCTTTTATGGTGGTGTGGGTTCTGTCAGCCACACTTTGATTAATTTCAAAAATAAAAATACCATTTACATGACTCAAGTGAACAAATATTGTATTGAACTCTAGTAGACAATGTCATACTCCTACCCTACCTACCCTCTCCCTCAGGGTTTTTTAACAAAGTGTATTAATTTATATTTTATGTTTTATTTTGGGAAGTACCTTCTCTATGGCAAAGAATTTTTCACTTGAAATAAATTTTGCTTATCTCAATTTGCTGGTATTTTTATTACTACTACTAAAAAAATATAAATTATTCCTCTCTTATCTATTTTTTTCTTTCTTCTATGATCATCTGTCAATAATTAAGTTTTATCAAGATTCTCAAGAGCAAGGGTTAGATGGTGGTTTCGATTGTTAAAACTTGAATAAGTGTGTCATATATAACAAAAATAATTTCAAAATTAGCTATTTATTTTATTTATAACCTTTTTAGTTTTGTTGTTATTGTTTTCTTTTTTTTAATAAATATTTATTTCAATAATTTTTTCCTATGCTAAACGCCAGCCAGTCAGCCATGTGGCACACGTCATACCCCCAATTTACCAAGAATTTTTATAGACGACTAATACCACCAACCGACAAATCATAATTTTTCTTTTTATAAGTCAATGGGGGACAAAATTGAAGTTTCCCATTAGAAAACCTAATTCAGCCAAGCTGAATTGAATTTTCCCCATGGAAAATATTCATTCGGTCTAAATTGATGGTTTCCTACAGAAAACCTAATTCAGCTGGACTGAATTCAGAGTTTTATTATAGAAAACCTAATTCAGCCAGGCTGAATTTATATATGCGAAACCTAATCCAGCCGGGCTGGATTATTGATTCAGCCATGCTTTTGAATATAAGAGAAAACCGGGCTGTATTGATGGTTTCCTATAGAAACCCTAATTCAGCCGGGCTGAATTGATGGTTTCCTATAGAAAACCTAATTCAGCCGGGCTGAATTGATCGTTTTCTATAGAAACCCTAATTCAGCCAGGCTGAA